CCCCACGCGAGCGGTAGAATTGCAATTCAATTTACTACAGCGGCTGAGTAGAATAGGAGAACCAAACTGTGAAGAGGCAGAATGGAAGTGAATGAAAGTAACCGCTAGCTATACGCAGGACTTCTGCATAGACATCCGGCTAGCATTCCTCTTATCTAACGACGACGAAAGTGTTTGTTGCCCTCCCTATACCATCTCGAGCAAAGTTCTGGGAAGTTTCATCTGTGAGAACTTTTCGATGCGAAGGAAGCAGTCCAGTGAGCGCGAAGTACCGCTTTGCAGTACTTCTGTTGCAGCCGTAAAAGCAACAGATGTAGTGACAAAGGACACTGGCCGTCCAACTGACCTAAAAATAAAGAATTTTGTGATGAGAATGCGCCTCTTTCGTTTGTCACGATAGCTGTAAAAACTGCATTCTCTGACCACGGATTCAAGTAAAAATAGTACATTTGTCAGCAAAATTCGAACGGCCTCAATCGGGAATCGTCGCGAGTAAATTTATGCGCAAACTCCCGTCACTAGGCAGGAACAAGCAGGGCGATTCATTTCGTCGTGATTGCCTGCCGCTATGCAGTCAAAGATTTCAGTGAGGTGAATGACTATCACATTCGCAATTCCTATGCAGTAGCAATTTCAGCGAGCTTCATAGTGAATTTAGAACTTTCATGCACTAATTCATATTATCTAACAGTGTAGGGAGTTGGACGAGCGAAAGACACCATGGGCGTCCATTTACGCTTGCGCCTTTATGCTCTGCTTGACTGGAGTTCAGATCAGCATCTACTTCATGTCTACATGGCAGTACTTAACAGAGGTCGGTACTCGTGAACTTCTTTGAGTGTTCCTTTTTGACAAGGTTCTGTTTCAAAAGTGTTAGCAAAATGTGCTAAGGTGGACTCAACTGCGACGATGGAGTTTTTCGGCTGGGTAGCGGCGGCATGCAGTTTGGGATGTGCTCTGGTGAGGTATTCAAGTTTTGTGTGGCAACTGCGATGGCTTTGCGATTTCCTCGCTACTCTGCTCTAGGTGGATCGTCACCTAGGAATATGAGATGCCAGTAATGCTATGACATCATTCAAGATGTGTACTAAATGTACTAAATATGATCCTGAACGTGAACACGGTTTTCGCTATACTGCTTCCGTAAGCACAAAAATTAATAGAAAATTCGAGCGGCGCAATTGAACAACCACGGCCTCAACAGCTCAATTTTTTTTCTCAGGCATTGTCCTTTGGGACCATTTGGTACCCTGATCAGGAGTATCCATTCATTTAGTGCCGGCATCAAGTCAGCTTCATTACGTTTCCTATGATTATGACTACGACTTAGATCGGTTAGTAAAGCAAAAGAACACAACGTGCATTGATCGATAAGCGGCAAAATGAAGTTGTTAAGCCGGAGCATGAAACTTATAAGTGGGAACATGGAATTAAGTTGTAAAACAGATGAAGTGGGGGAGCAACGGCAACGGGGACGCGGTGAACACATGGTGGTGGAGAGACCCTAATAGGGTTGTTTTACTTTTTCATTACAGATGAACCGTCGTATTCCCTGCCGCTCTCGAGCTCCGGCCTGCCGCTTGGGCCTTTCCACCGAACTATGAAACGGGGAGAGGAAGGGGTACTGGAGGCATTCGCTTCTCGGCACCGGTACCAGTTGGCCCTCTCCTGATGCTGAGCCTGGAGGGGAGAGTGATCTGCACTCGCACTACGCGTCAACTTCCCACTTCGTCAACTTTTCGTCAACTCCTTACCTATGTAGCCCTTATTTCTTCAACCCTACCTCACTAAGAAGTCTCAGGGTTGACGAAACAGATAGTTCGAATTAGGTCAGGGACGAAACTAACTCATGCTGTTCTAAGTAGTACCAGTACCTATTTCATTCTCTAATTGGCCTTTGCAGAACGTCGGGGACAGGAAGCACAGCCTACAGTCCTACTGCGTGTGTTGGCGACCCCGGTTGCGAATTTAAAATCCTTTTTCTAGCACTTGACCCATTTTCGGGTACAATGGCTTGCTGCCCAAAAAAGCCATAATATTGAAGGAAAAGAGCAGATAAAGTGCCTAGGCCGTGTATGGTGGTTACGACGATCACCGAAAAACACCGTACCCCTGAGCAAGCCTTACATGGTATATTTTCCAAAGGAACGCTGTCTCTTAGCGTCTCAGCAGAGCTTAGCATCCCCACCCATACTTCCATTAACATCGACGCGTACAAAAACGGCCGAAGCGATCAGCAGTTGATCACAATCGGATCAGCTGTTTTCACGCGTAATTTG